TATTTACCAATGTGATGAGTCCTGGGGTCTGTAGGTAGAGCTTATATGATAAAAGAGCATAGTTTAGTAAGTTCAAGAGAATCTTCTCCAAGGAAGTGATATTGAAGTTATTGAAAGATAAGTAGGGGATGGCTATACAGGTCAGGGAGGTGTGAGGAAGGATTCAGAGAAGGAGCATTCATGGCCAGGATCAAGCAGAGGCATAGGACTTGAGTTGCTGTGGCTATGCGAAGTGTTTTACTGGGGATGGGGATGGGGATGCCTGAACTTGACTCTTCTTTGCCAGACTGTGATGAGGGGTTCAGGACACTGGGCACCCCAATCCTGGCCAGTAAATATGGTAACCTTCTACTGTGATCTGAATGTTTGTGCCCCCATACCCCTATATTTTATATGCTGAAACCCAAAATCATAAAGTGATAATATTAAGAGATGGGGCCTCTGGGAGGTGATTAGGTTTTGAGGGCAAACCCCTCACAAATGGTGGGATTAGTGATTAGTGTCCTTATAGAAGGGACTCCATAGAGCTCATTGCCCCCTGTGCCATGTGAGATATAGTAAGAAGACACCATCTATGAGGAGCTAGTTCTTTTAATTGTGATGTTAGGGGGTCAATTTTAGATCTTTCCAGCTTTCTGTTGTGGGAATTTAGTGCTGTAAGTTTCCCTCTTAACATTGCTTTAGCCATGTCCCAGAGATTCTGGTACATTGTCTCTTTGTTCTCATTGGTTTCAAAAAACTTCATTATTTCTGCCTTAATTTCATTATTTACCCAGTGGTAATTCAGGAACAGGTTGTTCAATTTCCATGTAATTTTGTGGTTTTGAGTGAGTTTCTTAATCCTGAGATCTAATTTGTACATATACAAATTAGAGTACACCATGGAATACTATGCAGCCATATAAAAGAATGAGCTCATGTCCTTTGCAGGGACATGGATGAAACTGGAAGCCATCATTCTCAGCAAACTAACACAGGAAGAGAAAACCAAACCCTGCATGTTCTCCCTCATAAATGGGAGTTGAACAGTGAGAACACATGGACACAGGGAGGGAACCATCACACACCGTGGCTTGTCAGGGATTGGAGGGGAAGGGAAGGGAGAGGATTATGACAAATACCTAATGCATGTGGGACTTAGCAGCCAGATGACGGGTTAATAGGTGCAGCAAATCATCATGGCACATGTATACCTATGTGGCAAACCTGCACGTTCTGCACATGTATCCCAGAACTTAAAGTAAAAATTTAAAAAAGGATATACATATCATATGCATAAAAAAGATACAAAATGCTTATGAACAGAAAGATTCTATATTGTAAATAAGTCATTTATATTTATTAAATAATGGTTGAATGAAATCCTACTCAAAATCCTATCAGGTAATTTGAAAATTGACAAGCTAATTTTAAATGTATTTGAAAATGTAAAAGACCGAGAAGAATCAAGAAAGTTCTGAAGAAGAGCAGAGCTCAAGAATGTATACCATCAGGTGTTTCAATCTTTATTACAATTAAAATAAGATGATATTAGCAGAAGGACATATAAATAAAGAAACCAGAAACAAATTCGTATTTATACCATCCCCTGATTTATGACAAAGGTGAAACTGCAGTGTAGTGAGGCCACAATAATCTTTTCAATAAATGTTAGTAGATCACTTGGATATCATTATGGGGGAATAAAAGAATTTGACCCCTATCTTACATCATAAACAAAGGTCAGTATAGGTGGGTTATAAAGCTAAATGTGAAAGGTTAAAAATTTTTTTATAAAGCTTCTGTAACAGCCGGGAGCAGTGGCTCATGCCTGTAATCCCAGCACTTTGGGAGGCCGAGGCGGGCGGATCACGAGGTCAGGAGATTGAGACCATCCTGGCTAACAAGGTGAAACCCCTACTCTACTAAAAATATAAAAAATTAGCTGGGCGTGGTGGCAGGTGCCTATAGTCCCAGCTACTCGGGAGGCTAAGGCGGGAGAATTGCTTGAACTCGGGATGAGGAGGTTGCAGTGAGCCGAGATCATGCCAGTGCACCCCAGCCTGGATTACAAAGTGAGACTCCATCTCAAAAAACAAACAAACAAACAAGCAACAACAAAAAACAAAGTTTCTATAGCATAAGAGAATATCTTTATGACACTGAGGTTGACAAAAATTTCTTGAGTAAGACTAAAAAAGCATTAATTATACAGAAAAAGTCTGATAAATTGGACTACATTAAAATTAAGAACTTTGTGTTAAGAAAGTCACCATTAAGAGAAAGAAAAGGCAAGTTAAAGTGGGAGAAGATATCGGCAATGTTTATGTCCAATCAAAAACTTATATCCAAAATATATGAAAAATGCCTATAAATCAGTTACAGAATATATTCAAAGAGCCAATTAAGCATCAGAAAATGTATTCATCAAGGGCATGCAACTTAAAGTGACAATGGGATACCATGACACATAGACCAGTCTGGTCAAAACAAAAAATACAGACACTGTCAAGTGACTGCAAGGATATGGAGCAACTAGAACTGGCAAAGGTAAAATAGCACAATCACTTCAAAAAATTCTTAGGCAGCATTTGATGAAGTTAATATATACATATTTTAAGACCCAATTTCATACTTGTTATATACCCGACAGAAATGAATACAAGTGTGTACCAAAAGACATATAAGAATGTTCATAGCAGCAGCATTTGTCATAGTCAAGAGCTGGAAGCAACCCAGTTGTGCATCAGTGGTAGAATGGATGACTAAATTGTAGTGTATTCTTACAATAAAATACTATAGAGCAATGAAAATAAACAAACTATGGCTATGTTCAACAACATGGATAAATCTTACCAACGATGTTAGACAAATGAAGCCAAACCAAAAAATACACATATTCTATGAATCTATATATGCAAAGTTCACAATAGGTGATAGTGGCTACTGTTTTGGGAAGTAGTGAGGAAAGGACTAAGAGAGTACTGCAGAGGGGGCTCTGTGTGTTTGTAATTTCTATTTCCCAGTGCAGGTGTGGTTTACATGAGCATGTTCACTTTGTGGAAATTCATTGAGCTGTAACTAAATATATGGAATTATTTATGAATGACATGATATATAATTCAATGGGAACTTGGGAGGATAGGGAGGAGGTGGGGGAGCTAAAGAGACGTGAGTGACCAAATGCTTACAATTGTTATTGTTGGGTTATGTATACCTGGGAATTTGTTGTACTATCCTTGCCATTTTGTGTATGTTTGAAGTTTTCCATTATAAAAAGGACAAAAAAAAGACAGAGAAAACTAAAAAAGAAAAAAAAAAAAGTATTGTGCTTGTTACTAAAACCAATCTTAAGGCCATTTACTAAAATGTAAACTCCTACAATTTTGAATAGCTATTTGCTAATACATTGATTTGCTGCATTCTTGGGATTAGCTTAGCCTGTCCATTCCTTTTTTAACTTACTCCCTTCCTTCCCTTTTAATAAAGTCCTGCCTAAGCTCTAGGCTCTATTTTCCACCTCTCCTTTAAGATTAGGGATTGTTCCATTTTAAGTCAGTGGCCTTATCTCTCCCTGTTCTCCTAGTGTAACTCTTACCTTACCTAGCAGCAGGCCCTCTGTATTAGGGCAGCCCATGATATTACTTTTATGATTAATCTTCCCTTATCCACAAACTTAACTGTTGAGAAGCAGGAGAAAGTGTGTGCCCAGGAGCTGGATTCAGAGACCCATGGTTACCCAATTCTACTTATGATTCCATTCATTACACTGTTTTAGGAAAATAAACAGATCTTGATTTTTGCATAAGAGTTGATTCTTCAACAAGCAAATGGGAAAATTGGCAGGCCCAGATATGTGCGTATAGCTGATATTGGTTGGAAATTTGAACACAAAAATCTTTATCTACCCAGCCTGTGAGCTACAAATCTGGACTGAGTATAAAAAAGAATAAAACTAAATACCACATGTTCTCACTTATAAGTGGAAACTAAACATTGAGTACACATGAACTTATAGATGGGAACAATAGACACTGGGGAACAGGAGAAGAGAAGGAGAGAGAAAAGGGTTGAAAAACTACCAATTGTGTGCTGTGCTCACTACCTGGGTGATGGATTTATTTGTACTCCAGCCTTAACATTACACAATATATCTTTGTAACAAACTTGTACTTGTACCCCCAAATTTAAAATAAAAGTTGAAAAAAAAAGAATAAAAAGTGGCTGGCTATGTAACACAAAGATACTGTGGCTTGTCTTAAAAATAGGCTCTGACCCCTGAGGATAAAAATCAGACTTCTCCATGCGGGTCTAGTTGACATGATTAGACAACTCAACTAGAGTTCTGCCTTAGTGGTTGTCATATACATTGTCATAGACATCCTTGAAAAGAAAAAACAAGACAAGAGAGGAAAACTGAAGCTTCAAAATCCTTCCTGTATTTTCTAAACATCTCTCATTGGATTGCTTGCACTCCTCCAACTGATAGATTCCAGAAGCTCATATAGTTACAAATAAGAACATGAGTGGTAAATATCCCCCCAAATTATTTCAGAACTCAGTCATTATAAATTGATTTTATATTCATATAGTTATCTTTTTATTGATCCATAATTCATATTTAGCAAAAAATTAAAGATGAATCATAAATGAACACTTGGAAAAAGGTTCAATGTTGGCATTTTCTCAAAATAGGTTGATAATTTCTTATTCCTTTCTCATAAAAAACTGGATAAATAGAAATTTTAATCTTCATAAAAATGGAAATTCCAATGCAGATCAAGTATTTGGTTGTTTGGTTTGTTGAAAGCTTGACTTTGTTCGCTTCATTTAGACAGACTATAAGATGAAAAACTTTAACACTAGAAACAAAATTTAGCATTAGAATCACAGAGAATGGGATTTTGAAATGCCTCTGTAAGTTTATAGATGTTCCTAAAGTTCCATGTTTAATAATTTGAATAAAATAGGTGGCCATGCTCAGGATCTAGGAAGTTAATAGTAGCCTCTTTCTTTTTCAGATACGTGTTGACCAGTGGTCCTGCCACTGCCTATCTATTTGTTGAAAATATTGTTTACACAGTAAGTTTATCTCTGTTTGCTGAGCCATTCTTAAGTAGCTCATGTGTGACTTGTACTTCTTTCTCTAAACCCTATATATACGACCTCCCTTGTTATTATTCCTTATTTTAACTCCTCAAAATATATTTGATAGATCCTTTAAAGGCCTGAATGGTTATAAAATACAAAGTCAAAGTTTCTTGACAGGTGATTAGCAGATTTCCCCGTTCTTCAAATGACCATTTCACATCTACCTGCAAAGGAGAGCAACACTCAGAATGGTGGTGTTTCTCAAATCATCCAAGGTAACAGAAAGTCTTTCTCTACTATTTATGAGAAGGCCCATCACTAGATTGAAAGCTCTTCTGGAAGTGACTCTGCCTGTATGTTCCCTACAAACCCCTAGAGAGTTAGCTGCTGAGATGGCTATATTTTCAAACTCGAGCTGACTTGGAGAAAGCAGATCTGGAGTGGAGACATAGAATTTCTCATGGAAAGTGAAAATAACTCACTGAAAATCATGTTTTTTCAAACTCTTCTGTCTTTCCACAGTATGTTCTTGTTACTGATTTTCAGAAAGCTGGTTTTGAGACTACAGCTTGGATTAAAGTAAGTTTTGTCTAGAATTGTTTCTCTATTCAGTATAGACATTTTCATGCTATGATTTATTTCTAAGCCTAGGGGAAACAATAAACAACATCTGGTTATCTTATTTCAAATATGATATGTATAAATTGTGGATTGATCTTTATTGGAGCAAATTTGCAATCCAAATTCTCTTGGTGATTTATTTGCTTGGCACCTAATACACCTCTAAGCTTACAACAGTCATCTCATTTCAAATTTAAAGCCCCATTTTAAAAACAAAAACCATATACATACCCAAATATATAGAAAATAAAGAAAGACTAAAAAAATTTAATTTCCATAATTTTATCAAGAGACAGCCACTACTAATGCTTTGCTGGGGATCCTTCCAGACATTGTTCTATGTCTGTGTGTGTGTGTATTTTTAAATAAGATGATGCATTACAGAACACAAGGCTTTATTATTAAAAAAAGATTAGACACAATTTCTATGCCTTAAAATATAATTTAACACAATTATTGTTTATGATTATAGATTATTAAGTTTTATAGATGTTCCATCATTTATTTCAGCAGTCTCCTATTTTAGACATTTTCATTATTTCCAACATTTAAAGATTATATCTAAATCTTTATTTTTGTCTCTCATGAAGTATCATGACCTGCCTGATGTTTAAATGCTCTGCTAAAAAAAATGAGTATGAGGTGATAAGTCAATGTGGAATAGGTAATCTCCTAAGATAGCAGTCCCCAACTTTTTTGGCATCAGGGACTGGTTTCATGGAAGATAATTATTCCATGGACAAGAGGACTTCCATGAGTCTCCTAGGAGCTGGTTTCAGGATGCTTCAAGAACGTTACATTTATTATGTACTTTATTTCTTTTATATGTTACATTGTAATATATAAGAAAATAATTATATACCATAATACAGAATCAGTGGGAGTCCTGAGCTTGTTTTTCTGCAACTAGATAGTCCCATCTGGGGGTAATGGGAGACAGCGAGAGATCATCAGGCATTAAATTTTCAGAAAGAACATGCAACCTAGGTCCTTTGCATGCACAGTTCTCAATAGGGTTCATGCTTCTATGAGAATCTAGTGCCCCTGCTGATCTGACAGAAGGCAGAACTTCAGGTGGGAATGCCAGTGATAGGGAATGGCTATAAATACAGATGTAGCTTTGCTTGCGCACCTGTTGTGCACTTCCTGCTGTGCAGCCTGGTTCCTAACAGGCCATGGTCTGCTACCAGTCCATGGCCTGTGTTGTGGGTTGGGGCCCACTGCCCTAAGAGACAGTGGCAATTAATCCAGGTTAAATGTGATGATGTCTTTAGCCTAGGATGTTAGAGGAGGAGGCAGTGAGAAGTGGTCAGAGCCTGGATTTATTTTATCTTTTTAAAAGCTAACAGAACTTGCATATAGATTAGATTGTGTGTTGTGGAAGAAAGAAAGAAGTCAAGGATCATCATATTAAGAGAACAAAGGAGGAAAAATGAACAACTCAGTAGATGCTTAAAGAAACACTGTTAAGAGGCAATATCCATTTCAGATTAAAAAAAAAATTCTTTGCAAATTGAACAGAACAATTGAAGTCCCAAAATGATCAATAAAAACATCTTACTGATTTTGTCCATTCAGCCACTCTCTTACCAGATTAATGAATCCTTGTTGTATACAGCCTTAGGTTGGAGCAAACACTTGCCATGAATTGAGAGGGGCCCACGTCACTATGGTATAAATCTTAAGAGAAAGGCCAGCCATGACAGCAAAAGCATGTTCATCTTCAGAGTACTTTGGGGACACTCATAACTTCAAGTCATTGTTAAAAATTCTGAGACAAGGGAATTGGGAAGATTGACCTCCCCAGTAAGCTATGAGTCATGAGAATCTTTCCATAAGGAGAGCTAGCTAGGATGCAGGCATTCTGTGGCAGGTGGAGTTCGGGTGAATCTGCCAGTCTAGCCGAGAAGCCTTGTCTAAGTGACTGTTTTCCTCTGCAATTCAGTCATCTGACTGTCTGGGGAAGCACACTGACTGGTCTGGTGTTCTTTGGCATCTACTTAACCATCTGGTCCCCCATTCTTATTGCACTAAATATGAGAGGACAGGTAAGTATGCCAGATTGGAAGTTTGCCTTCTGTGTCTTGTGATAACAATGTTTCTCCATATGTAGGCAAGCAGGCTCTCTGTGTTTTGCAACTGTATTGAGGTTCAGTAGAGGCTGGTGCTACCTGTTTCTATCAGGATCTATCAGGAGGTAAACCAAATTAAGGAATCTGGAAGATGTCATCTAGTCCACAGAAATGGCATTTTAAATTTAAAGTATTATAAAAAGTCAACCTAAACCCCCTTACTTACCTGGCATGTCCACATTTTCATAATAAATTATGTGTTAATTGCACATCATACTGATATGTACACTTTATGGCCCTTTGGAAACTGGAGCTATTTTGAGTTGTTCATAATCCAATGATTATATTGGTTACAGTTTTGATGTTGTACTCTGATTAGTAGTTATCCGCTGTTGAGTCATCTGTGGAAGTTAAATCTAACAGCTCTATGAACCAGTATCTCTTTGAACTAGAGAGGCTGAGATTAAAGGTCTTTATACTCACTTGAATGTCTTTTTATTTTTTTCTTTTATACTACCTTTTTCTAGTGCATGAGATTGAGCCATCAACTGTGACAAACTGGATCATGGAATCTCACAGTATCAAGTTTGGATAGAAAGGAGCTTGGCAGTCTTGTGGTCCACACCTCCTCAATTTACCAAGGAAGCTGTGCAAGCACAGGTCTCCAGGTTCATCCCAGAGACCCCACCCTGGGGTTGCCCACGGCAGTCCTGTCCTTAGACCCCCAAAACAGGCTGCTGGGCCCTATGTTTTAGAGACCTCTGCACTGGCCCTCCTTCGCTGGGTGTATTTCTCTGCACAGAGTGAAAAGCTGTGATGCACACAGCCCCTTCTAGTGTGTTCTCTGGGCTCCCAGGAACCCAGGCCTCTTTCTCAAATAGCCAAATGCCCATTACCAAGGCCTGCTTGGGCCTCCTTCCAGATGCAGGCCAGATTGCACAACCCTAGGTCCAAGGGGCAACTGTTTGCAAGGGGTGTGCACTGAGTAGATTGATGTTTGCACTGGTGTTTCCACCCACGTTTAAAGGAGGATGTTCATGCTGGGGCACAGAACCCAGTGGAAAGGGAAGAACAGTGGGTCAGACTTTAATTGGTGTTTCCCACCCAGGAATACATATTTTAGGGGCAGGTCTGTGCATGGCACAGCTGTCTGCTATCTCTGCCTCACTTACTCTGCAGAAGTAAATGAAACCCCTGGGTTGACTGCAGTCTAGACTGTGTCCAGCAGCTGTTTTTTGTGAGGTAGCCCTGAGTAGTGTTGCTTGCCTTTTGACCTGGTGGCTCAATTGGCTAATATCCCAGGGTGCAGAGGACCTCCGCTGAGGGTGCTAAGTGGGATGGATCTGTCCTGCACGAGTGGGTGTGCTTGCCCTCTAATGCATTTTTGCTTTTTGTAAGAAAAGAGGACAAATGTCTAATGCGCTCTTCAGTTCTTTTCCAAATTCAGACAATAGAGGAAATTAGAGGAGATTGAATAAACCCAGAAGATTGTTGTGTAGCAAAATGAGCATTTCCAACAAAGAAACTGTGTGTGTTTAAAGAAAGCTACTCTGTTTTAAAGCAGTATGATTGAGCCCCACAAAACAAAGTGTCGGCTATAAGACAACAATCTTTTGGTAAGGTATTGGGGCTTAGAATATCTGTTTTGTGCTCTCTTCCTTCTGGTTCAGGGTTGATCTGCTATGATAAATATTTTATTTGGGGAATTTTTTGGTACTGGACAATAAACAGGGCCACAGCTGATCGCCACAGACAATTTTCTAATTTAGAGGACAGTGACAGCTGACAGGATGGGTCACTTGGTTTGTGATTGGCAAACTAAGCCCATTTGTCGAGGTTTCTAGGTTGGTGAATGCTCAGAAATGAAGGGTATTCTAGAAAAAACTGCTTTTTATAGGCCCAGCATGCTTCCGCTGCACAACTCTGCTATCAAAAAGACTTTTTTTTTTTTTTTTTTTTTTTTTTTTTTTAGACAGAGTCTTCCTCTGTTGCCAGACTAGAATGCAGTAACAAGATCTCTGCTCACTGCAACCTCCACCTTCCAGGTTCTAAGTGATTCTCCTGCCTCAGCCTCTGGAGTAGCTGGGATTACAGGTGTGTACCACCACGCCTGGCTAATTTTGTATTTTTAGCAGAGATGGTGTTTCACCATGTTGGCTAGGCTGGTCTCAAATTCCTGACCTCAGGTGATCCACTGGCCTCAGCCTCCCAAAGTGCTAGGATTTAAGGTGTGAGCCACCATGCTTTTAAAATTACTATTTAAATAATGCTTCTGATGATTTTTTTTTTTTTTTTTTTTTTTCTTGAGAGTGAGTTTTGCTCTTGTTGCCCAGGCTGGAGTGCAATGGCGCAGTCTCGGCTCACTGCAACCTTTGCCTTCCAGGTTCAAATGATTCTTCTGCCTCAGCCTCCCAAGTAGCTGGGATTAGAGGCATGCACCACCACACTTGGGTAATTTTTTATGTTTAATAGAGATGGGGTTTCACCGTGTTAGTCAGGCTGATCTCAAACTCCTGACATCAGGTGATCCACCAACCTTGACCTCCCAAAGTGCTGGGATTACATGCATGCACTACCACACTTGGCCAGCTTCTAGTGATTTTTATAAACCATTTTTTGTAGTTCATTAAACAGTAGGTTTTTGGCAAATAAACATGGTTATTTGATGCTCTACAATTAAACTGTGTAATAGCAAATGGTATTTTTCACCCAGAAGCCAGAGATTTGACACACAAAACATTTTCTCTATTCATAACTTTTTTTTGAGATAGAGTTTCATTCTTGTTGCCCAGGCTTCAGTGTAATGATGTGATCTCAGCTCACTGTAATCTCCACCTCCCAGGTTCAAGTGATTCTCCTGCCTCAGTCTCCTGTGTAGCTGGGATTAAAGGTGCCCACCACCATACCCAGCTAAGTTTTCTATTTTTAGTAGAGACAGGGTTTCACTATGTTGGCAAGGCTGTTCTCGAACTCCTGTCCTCAAGAGATCCACCCCCCTCAGCCTCCCACAGTGCTGGGATTACAGGCGTGAGACACTGTGCCTGGCCTATAACATCTTTAACCTTCAAAAAGATGCACTGTTTCTGCTGGGGGGTTCTTTTACTAATTTGATTAAAGAATTCTTTGTTTTGTCCATGATATTTGGAGTTTTTCTCATGGGGGAGAATGCAGGTTTTCTCTTGATGGTAAAGGAAAAGATAGACTGTAGAATTAGAATTCTTCTTCGCTATCAAAGCGTCTTTATCTTCTGTAAAGAATCTCATGATATGGTATATGAAACCCAACCAGACAACACATTAGGAAGTTCCAGTTGAAGTTTCTGAAATCAAAGAAGCCATCTGCATCCTTCCTCTCTTGAAAGTATGCCACATTTATGGTATCTTAAAAGGAACCCTGTTTTTCCTTGTCTCTTCTCAAGCTTATATCTATAGTAAGTTAAAAACTCAGATTGTATCTGTCCTGATTAATGCCAGTCAAACCCTCAGCTATGGAAAATATGTGATAATGTTTTTCTGTAGGGCACTATGTGTTTTTTCCCCCAGTAACATATCTGTGAGATTTAAGTTTCCCCGTAATGGGTCCCCAAGGCAAATACTTAAAGGTAGAATATGACTAAATTCTTTTTAGCTCACTGCCTCCCCCAAAGTTGCCTACTGATAGAGAGTTGGAGAGACGAGGAAATCTTGATCCAAAATTAGATTAGGAAATGTGTTTATATTTTATGCATGCTTTTCTCAATGCTTTTGACTTTAGTAGTGGTAGAGGGAATGCCATGTTACTTGACCTCTGTACAAAAGTCAAGAGGCTTGGCAGGGTTTACGCCCCAGGCAGTTAACCTTTCGCAAATCCCTTTACCTGCATTAATCTCCCAATCAGCAAAGTCAGAATAATACCACTCACCCTAATTACCTGAGAGGATTCTGGAAAATATATAACAACCTGTGGAAAATCTAAAACACGTATGCTCTTCTTTTTCCTGGAGTGATGAATTTTTAAACCTTCATGAATAGAAAAATTGCTGTGATTTAAACTCCAAATTCTTTTGGCTACATAGTTTTAACATTTTATAGGTTCTAAATTGGATGTTTCTCAGCAAGGTCCATTGATACCTGCATTCAAATCATCTGGATTGCTTGTTAAAATGACAACCCCTCCACCTGCAGGCAATCTCTCTCTCTCTCTCTCTCTCTCTCTCTCTCTCTCTCTCTCTCTTTTTCTTTCTCTCTCTCTCTCTCTTTCTTTTTCTTTCTTTCTTTCTTTTTCTCTCTCTCTCTCTCTCTCTCTCTTTCACACACACACAGAGTGAATTTGGAACCTCTGGGTGTGGCACACCAGCACCTAAATTGTAATAAATCTTCAGGTCATTCTTTCCTTTAAACTTTGAGAACCACTGCTCCAAAACCCCTAAAGACTCTATTAGAATGTTTTAGCTGTCATCGGGTGTTACAGGAGAAGATGATACACTGAAGATACAGCTGAGAATGTCAGTGGAGGAGAGATTTGAAGTGGGAATCTGCCTAAGGTTAGGAGAACACTTGTTTTCAGGTTAAGTTCTGTGGTGTGGGGCCATGTTCGCTTGCCTTAGCATCCATTCTTCTTCACCCTTTCCTAATTGTTCCCATATGTGCTGTGACTTTCTCCCTTATTCCTGGGGAAAACTTAATCCCATCCCTTCTGTAGTGATTGGTTCATGAAGCCAAGAGACATGGGGACACATTTGTCAGGGGCTTCTGGGATAGCAGCAAGTGTGCTCCTAAAAGAATCCATCAAAGAGACAGCTTTCTCATCTGAATGCTGTGGTTGTTACTGTGATGCTGGGAATGGTTCAGCCAAAGGAGGAAAACCACCCTCAAAATCCTACTGCTGGCATGAAAGATAGACTAGAAGACAAAAAGGCAAACAAAACCAAAAGTCTTTTTTATTGCTTTATTATTTGACAAGTAAACAAAACCTAAAAGTCTCTGTGTGATTGTTGACACCCTGTATAAAGCCAGCTTCAAACCCAACCCAAATGGGGCACTCAGAGAGTGTCTGCTGTGTGTGACTTGGCATTTTGGGCAGCTCTTGCCAAGGAAGTTTCTCTCCACCCAAGTGAGGCTGTCAAGGTGTTTCCTCAGCTTCACAAGCACGTGGTCAGTCAAGGAAGTAAATGCTTTTTAAAAACAAAATCTTTACTATAGCATATTTAACTGTTTTACTACACCTAAAGTTTCAGATTGGTTTACAAACCTTGTAAAGAATTATTTAGTGTTGCGATTATTAGTTTTTTAGGCAGTAACATCCTTGAAAATGTCTAATGGGCATGTCTTAAGCTTATTAGAATTAATCTCAAATACAATATTGAATAGACTCAGTCCAGTTTTCTTCAAGTATCATATTTCAGAAACCCGAGGCCTGTCTGATGAGGAGCAGTCAGCCTCATCAAGGAGGAAGTCCCATCAGTAGAGGCTTGCCTTTCTGTTTGAAATAACATTGTGGCATATTTTTGTACAGTTTTCTTGAATATTGAAGTTGGCTGAATTATTGTTGAAGTCTAATTTCCATTCTGACTTTTAAACTTGTATATTTTGTGGAACAGTAAGACTCACAAGAAGTAACATGCTGTGTTTCTGGATGACATTCTTATCTGAATACAAAGCATGATGAGATGAGCAAAGTTAACATGGCAAGATTTCCTGGTTTCTCCCATACCTGTGACTATTGTCACCTACACCCTGGGGTCCCCCATTCATGTATATTTCTCTTCTTGAAGCCTCCTGACATCAATCCCTGTCTGAGGCAATTTCTAGAACAAAAAAAAAAAAAATGAAAACTGTAACAAAAAGCCCTCTTCACTGATAATAAAAAAAGAGTCAAAAACATTGACTTGACCAGTGCTAAAGAGGTACGTTCTCATAGCCTATAAATATTTGGGATCTAAAATCAGAAAACTCAGGCGTCCATCAGACAACAATTTCGTCACAGAATTGCTTGTCATTGTTACCTGTAATACCAACTTGTTTTTGGTTTTCTTTTGCTAATTAACAAATGAAAAATAAAGTAGATTTTTTAAAGTTGAAAGCTACTTAAAGTGGTTTCAGGTTCTTTCTATACGCAGTGATGAGCACAGCACCTTTATCAAAATTGCCTCTGGATTCTCTTGAATCCTTCCAAATTAAAGTGACCCGAATCTGATTTCTTTTCTATTCAGTTAAAATTGTAACTGTGAAAGTAGGATTTGAACTCAATTACCTAATGCCTAAATCATTTATGACATTGAGTCTATTGTCCATATTAGCCATGCTTGTGTTATTTCTGAGCCTCAGCTTTTCAGGTGTATGAAGGAGATAATATCCTTGGATATTTTATGGAAATTAAAGAAAATAAGGCATGTAAATAAGACTTTGTTGTTTATTGAAAAATTACTGTGTGTCAGACAGAATATATTTATGAAAATATGTTTTTACTGTACTCAATTACATGCATAATAACTTTAGCATCAGCTCATTCAGTAATCTGTAACCTCAGGAAACAGGCTTAGAGAGAAAGAATCAGCTTTTTGGCCAGTCAGGGAATAGAGTAGCTGGAATTTCCCCTGGAGTCAGACTCTAAGCTGTGAGTGTCCTCACTTTGTGACTCTCGATAGCACCTACAGCGATAATAAACCAGGCATCTGAGAAATGGTTAACACTCCTGAACATTTTGCACTTAATAAATTTTATTTGAAGTGACTTACCCTGCAATGCAATTTAATTTTTAAACAATAAATGGAGAGTTAGAAGGAATAAGCAGACTTTGTGCTTGAACTGCAATCTTGTGTCCATGAGCCGAATCTTTCGTATGGTAAAGCAGGTTTCAAACAACAGTGTTTATTTTTTATGTACATTATGAAAAGTCAAATGGTGTTTCTGCTTTTAGATCCTTAAGGAATCGCCACACTGTC